ACGGCCTGAAACACGCTGGAGTGCACGATCAGAAACTGTGAAAGCTATCTATGAAGGACTGGATAACTTCATAGTTTTATTACATTTCTAGAATGTCATTCTTGGAAAAATTGATCGTGTTCAGAAGCGCTTACAGGATCCTACTATGAATTTCAAGGAAGCAGCAACTGATCTTGATTCTTTGGAGCATGAATTTGTCAAGCTTCATGATGATTTGAGCCAAGTTGCTGTAGAAAACGCCAAAATAAGATGCACAGCCTGGGGGGTCGATTTGGACAGAAGAATTAGGCGACGTCGGAAGATGCCAGGAGAACTGGCAAGAGATGCAGGACTTTCAGCAGAAGAAGAAATTATGCACGTTATGAAGAGCGTATTTTATCGACTTCAACAGATGTCAACACGGTTTTTACGACTAAAAGACCTGAACACAAAATTTGGATTTCTGCTGGACGTCAAAACTCTTCTATCCGACACAGATGTCGATGTAATTCGTCGAAATTGCAAAGATTTTGGAAATTTCTACGACACCGACATCAATGGCCACGAACTTTTCACAGAAATTGGAGATTGCAAAATGCTGCTCAGTAACCAGAATGAAGTTCTCCTAGAAACTCCTTTGGATCTTCTTGGTTTCATTGTGTTTTATGGAGACGACATATTTCCGAATTTGCGAATTTCACTGCAAATTTTATTAACAATAGCAGTTTCAATTGCAAGCTGTGAGCGGTCGTTCAGCAAATTGAAACTTATTTTGTCGTATTTGCGTGCTTCAATGGGACAAGATCGTCTCAGCGATCTTGCTCTTCTTAGCGTTGAAAGAGAAACATTGGGAAAAACAGATTTTGATTACGTGATTGACCAGTTTGGGACAGTGAAATCAAGAAAAATTATTCTTTTGTAGATTATGTCAACCAGTCTACGACAGTGACTGAGTGAGCCATGTAATATAATTTCTATAAATTTGCTTCTTTAAATACAATGTTTCATTAACCTTTTCAGACCACAATTTGGTAAAGGCAAAGCTCGGTATTCCAGGTGGCCTGAAAATAGGGAAGGGGACCTGGAAGATGAATGTGAGCCTGTTGGCAGACGGAAAGGTGGTGGAGGACTTCGTAAGGCGGTACGAAGACTGGACGACCCTGCAGGAATGCTTCACCACGGATTATGGTGAAGGGCCGGATAAAGGCTCTCTTCCAGACATATAGCAGGGGGAGGAGCGTGAAGAGGGAGCTGCAGCTGTGGAATGCCAAGATCGAGAAGAGGTACAGGTTACTTGAGCTGGGATTCCCGGTGGGCGAGTACATAGAGAGGTTGAAGGGGAGGTTATCCTGGGTATTGGAGAGGAGAGCCAAGCAGCTGGCATACAGGGCAAGGGTCAGGGCACCGGAACAGGGGGAGAAGTGTACAAGATTCTTCTTTAAGAAATGCAGGGCAGGAGATAACACAGTTAGGGAATTGGTGAGTCCGACTAGAGGCAGGCAGGCAACGACTGAGGGTATGATAGAGATAGCGAGGGATTACTAAGGGGAGTTGTATGGGAGGAAGGGAACGGATAAGGGAATGCAGGAGGCACTGCTGGGGGAGCTGAGACATGAGGTTAGGAACCCAGAGGTACTGGGAGAGAGGATCCAGTTGGGGGAAGTGGAGGAGGCGGTGAGGAGGCAAAACAGGAATAGGACGCCGGGACTGGATGGAATTCCGGCGGAATTCTACATCACATTCTGGGATTTGTTGAAGGGGGATATGCTGCAGATGTGCAGGGAGACACTGGAGGGCGGACTGGTGCCAGAAGCAATGTGTGAGGGGCTCATCACACTGATGTATAAGGGGAAGGGGGACCGGAGAAATTTGGGAAACTGGCGTCCAGTTACGCTCCTGAACTCGGACTACAAGATTATGGCGAAGATAGTCGCAACACGCTTGGGGAAGGTGGTGGAGGGGGTGGTCGAGCCCGACCAGACATGCGCGGTGGCAGGAAGGAGGATTTCGGACTCCCTGATTGTATTAAGGGAGGCGATTGAGGTGGAAGGAGAGAGGGGGTGCCCCCTGGGACTCGTTAGTCTGGACCTTGAGAAGGCTTTTGACCGCCTCTCGCACGAGTATATGTTCGCGGTGCTGGAAAGAATGGGAGTGAGGGGGCCCTTGGTCGACTGGGTGAGGCGTCTTTACCAAGGGCTCAGGACCAGACTACTGATAAATGGGGAGCTCTCGGGAACAATCCCAGTAGAGTCAGGGGTGAGGCAGGGGTGCCCGATGTCCGCGGTTCTATTTGTAATGTGTATGGAACCCCTTGCACAGGCAATGACAAACAGCCAGGGGATTAGGGGAGTGACCATCCCTGGGAATAAGGAACAGGGGAAGGTGGCGTTGTATATGGATGACGTAGTCGTGCTCTGTAGATACGTGGCATCAGTGTGGGGGGCCATGAAGGAGACAAACCGCTTCGGCCTGGCCTACGGCTTGAAGGTGAATGAGAGGAAGAGCGAACTGATGGTTTTCGGGGACCCGAGATTGTTCGAGGGCCGGCCGCCTGAGTTGGGGATACAGACGGAGGAGGTCAGGGTCTTAGGGGTTGCTTTTTGCTGAGAGAGGTCGGCGGAACGAAACTGGGACGGGAGGATAGGGCAGGTGAGGGGACAGTTAGGTAGGTGGGCCGGGAGACGGCTTACGATGGAAGGGAGGATTCTGGTGGTGAGGGTGGAGGTTTTACCAACACTTAACTACCTCGCATATGTGTACCCACCAGGTAGGAGGGAGGTAAGGATCTTGGAATCGGTGTTGTTTAGGTTCATTTGGGGGGGAGGGATGGATAGAGTGAAGAGGGAGGTGATATGTAAACGCGTCGAGAACGGGGGGAGGGGTGCCCCAAATGTTGCGCGTGCTCTGTCTTCAATTTTTGTGTGCAACACTCTGAGGTTGTTTTTTTCCGAAGGGCCCCGGGGGAAGGCCGCTTGTTATTTGAGGTATCGCCTGACGTGGCTCCTGAGGGGGCTTGGGATGACCCAATTGGCGATGGGTACACCCTTGGCCTGGCCACAGAGTTGGCTGAACGCGGTGGTGGGTGACTACATCAAAGAGTACGGTTTGAGTCGGAGAGGCGGACCGTGGAACCCCAGGGAGGTGTTGGCCAAAGTAAACGAATGGGAGGCCTGTGAGGGGGTGATGGGCGCGAAGAGGGCTGTGCACCGTCAAGTGTGGAGGAACACTTCATCAACGGCGCTCACAAAGGAACAGAGGGATCTGTCCTGGTTGGCGGTGCGGGATTGGGGACGGGGGGCTTCAAGTTTTCCCGCCGAATGGCACGTTCCCCCAAATGTCCGAGAGGATGCAGCGCAGATGAGGACGCGGTGCACGTCATGGTGAAGTGTCCCTTCACACAGGAGGTGTGGAGACGGAGCGGTCCGCTGTTGTCCCGGTTTTACCCGGCGCAGGTGTCAATGCGGGACATTATGTGGGGAGTCTTAAGGGGGGTGGGGGAGGATGACAAAAATCGGATGTGGGCCATAATAGGTGCGACGAAGGAGGCCTTGTGGGGGGCGCGCAGAAAGGAGCTGGATGGGTCCCCTATGTCACCTTTGGGGGTGTGTTACTGGGCGAGGAGGTTCCTGAAAAGGGTGATGGAAGTGGATCGGGTTGGGCTGGGATACAAGGCCACGGGTGTGAAGTGGAAGTGGCCCCTACCCGGGGTGGGGTAGGGAGGGGTCCGGGGGTATGGGGAAGGGACGGTGAGGGATGGCCATGCGCATTTTGCCGGACTGCTGAGTTGTGCAGGCGAGGAATGTCCGTGTTCGGTCGGGGGAAGGCGATGTGGTGGAGCGTTGCGCGGGTGAATGGTGGTGGCGATGGTGATTGAGGGCATGGGCGGTGGGCGTTGCGGTGGCTGGCTTTTGTTGTATTGTATGTGGGTGGTGCCAGCGGATGTGACGGAAATCGGAAGGGGCCTATCGTGGCGCCCAGGATGGAGTGTTGTTTCCAGTGCTTTCTTTGGTTTTCTTTGTGTTCGCTCAGAAGGTAATAAAAACCTTTAAATCGGTCCTCCCAGGGCGAGGCTTATCCATTGCACTGCGGGTGGGTTGACCCCTACGATTTCCCCAAATGCGGGAAACTCGACTGTATAATTTGTGGTACTGGGGGACTGCGTTCGCGCTATCCTCCATTTTTAAAGAAAAAAGAGGGTGCTTTGTTCAAGCAACTGAAACAGCCGGACCGAATTCCTGTGATGGATATTATTTCAAGATTGTTGAAAGATAACTGGTAAGCATTTTCATAATTAAAAGCAATCTGCACGTTCTCTCCCTGGCAGCCAGCAAAACTTTGAATCGTATATATATAGTGCCCTGTCTTTCTCAACCATGTTCTTCCATTCTCTGTTCTGTATATCCCAATTTCTCTCAATTTTTTGCTTTCTCTCTGTGTCTCTATTTCTCTGTTCCATTTTCTACCTATATCTCTATTACACTCCGCCCTCCATTGGATCTCACCCACTTCCCTATCTCTCTCCCTGTCTATCTCTCACCTATGTTCTCCACATTCCCACCTCTCCCATTCCCATCTCATTCTCCCTTGCCTCTCTGTAATCCCCCTTCGTGATGTTTGTAACTTTTCATTGCCTCTCCTATTCCCATTTCGCTCTCTTTTTCCTCTGTTTCACAACCTTCCGCTCTCTCCATCGCCTTGCATGACCTCTTGCTTTCTCACACATTGTGCGGGATACACATCCGGGGTACAGGGTGGCTGGGGGAGGGTGATGTGACATCAGCCCGCACAAACAGGCAGGAATCCAGCCAGGAATCCACTTTGAATACAGTTTTATATATATAATGTTATTATGATTTAAATAACTAACTAAATACACAGATTCAACTACATGTCCACCAACTTATAAATACATATTTCCATAAGTTATTTTATTTTCATTTGTGTGAGAAAAAGGAAGGACCCCATAGCCTAGAGAGAGATTTCTGTCGGCTAATAGGTTGCGCAGTCAAAGGGGTGAGAGTAATCTCTGGTTTCTCTTCAAAGCGAATAAATCTTTCGCCTTTTACTAAAGATTTCCGTGGAGAGGAGCAACGTAATGAGTGTAAACTATTTTTGTTGCCCTTCAATGGAAGGGCTCTTCATTTTAATAAAAACAGAATCTGTAATTTGCAAGTGTCCTGTTGACAATTTCACATTCCTCAATTGACCTATCTTCGTTAATGGACTACTGTATTGGACAATCTACATGAAGTGTCAGCACTATATAAACATCATGGGACCTCCTTTGCCAGTACCAAAATATTATAGGTTTTCCCTTTTCTATGTAAACATGTTTGATTTTATCCCCAGTGTGAATTATGAAGATCTTTTTATCAGCATTTCAATCCATTCATTATTTTATATATTGGAAAAAATAACCATACTCTTTGTTTCTTTCGGTAAAGTCACGTAGGTATAAAATAAAATATATCACGACATTTCGACCGCAACACAAGCGGTCGTCCTCAGGCGGGAAAAATATAATCCAGCAGTGGACCTGCTGAAATAACGAGAGAGCAGCGACAAGGCTAGATATGTGGCAATGGGCAAGCAAGCAGGGTCTGAGCTGGAAAGGAATTCCACCCCCGGATGCAAGCACCTCAGTTGTGTTCATGGGGGATTCGGGAGAGAGAGATTAGGGAGAGAGGCATTAGGGAGGGAGATTAGCATGAATGAGCTTCCATTGTCGCATAAGAGTATCATGCCCGCATATGCGCACAACAGCAGTGTTCATGAGAGATTAGCCCCATGAGAATGCAATCCAAGGACGTGAACATGCGAATGCAATTTATAGAGAGAGACACAGAGAGTCGGAAGAACAACCATGTTTGGAGCCCCAGCGATGCTCTGTTCTCACACCGGGGTTAGAGTGTATGCCACTGATGGTGGAAGATCCTGCACAAGAGCAAGTGTTAGATTTTACAACGAAACCTGTAATCTGGCAACTTTTTCTCCAGGTATCCCGAGCTTTTATTACCCAGAAAACCTTAGTTTTACACGTATTACATCAACACTTCAGCTCAGTGTTGTTGTAACACGTGACAACTTTGCTTATCAAATTGTATTCTGAAACGAGAGTGTGTAATCAATATAACTGTCTTGGTGAAAATATTATTCACATCAATTCGATTATGAGCAAAGAGAACAGAGCTCTTGAGACCCCATAGAGTAGATGAATAGGGATCGGGTAACTATCCGGATAGAGGGGGCACCTCAATTCATACTTACCTGACAGGGGAGGCACCATGATCATTTAGGTGGTCCTCCCAGACGAGGCTTATCCATTGCACTGCGGATGGGTTGACCCCTGCGATTTCCCCAAATGCGGGAAACTCGACTGTATGATTTGTGGTACTGGGGGACTGTGTTCGCGCTATCCCTGTTGTATCTATGCCCTGTTTTTCAAAAAATTATATTAAGAATAACTAGGCCAACATTTTTTTATTATACACATATATTTTTTAATTAAATAATGAAAACAGCCTCTACTCACAAGCACACGAGGAATCTGTGAAACGGGGAGGGCCATTAAACCACAAGACTTCAGAGCACAGAGAGGTCAGAGACATCCAGATGGACAAAAGGTCGATGGCCTAACCTTCCCAAGACGTCTGGAGATGCACGGATAAGGTGCAGAGCAGAGAAAAACAACTATTACAACTCGCGTTTTCTTTAACGTTTTCCTTAACGAAAAGTAGAAACTTAACAAAAAATAAAATCAACGGTATAAGACTGCAGCCTACAATAGGGGCTTGTTATTAGATATTCCCTCATATTTCTCGTATTCACCGCATATATATTATTTTGTATTGTATGTTTCTATCTACATGACCTTACCAAAAACTAAAGAATACGAATTCCAGAAAGCTAAGTGAAAACTTAGTTACACTTAACCTCAGGACATTAACAGGACCCTGCGGGGTGGGCTGGTAGGAACGAATAACCAAAGAATATAAACATAATGTATTATTACACTTGTTTAGCCAGGAAAGCCCTACTGAGTCTAAAGGTTTTCGTAGGGTCCTGCCAAGTGTTTGCAGTAGGGGGCGATGTTGCTACACCGAATCGGACGATACGAAGGGAGAGTGTGAGGCCTAGTTCTAGACTTTAGGCCTAGCTGTAGGCGTTAGGCCGCTGTGAGTTAATTTTTAATTTAAATGTTTAAATTAATTATGTAAAAGCTTTAAATGTCAAATTTTCTATTTAAAAACATCAGGGAATGTAACATTGTTAAACATTAACTCCCTTTCACACACGCGGGGGTACGATACGAAGGGTGAGTTTGAGGCCTAGGTCTAGGCTTTAGGCCTAGCTGTAGGCTTTAGGCCGCCGTGAGTTAATTGAAATGTTTAAATTTTTTCATTATTTATGTAAAAGCTTTAAATAAAAATGTTTTTATTTGAAAGCATCAGGGAATGTAACATTGTTAAACATTAACTCCCTTGCACACACGCGGGGGTACGATACGAAGGGAGAGTTTGAGGCGTAGTTCGAGGCTTTAGGCCTAGCTGTAGGCTTTAGGGCGCTGTGAGTTAATTTTTAATTTAAAAGTTTTAATTAAAAGCTATCTCAGGGAATTATAAGGGAATGTTACACTTGTTTAGCCAGGAAAGCCTCATTAATTTAAATGTTTTAATTAAAAGCTATCTGAGGGAATTATAAGGGAATGTTACGCTTGTTAGCCAGGAAAGCGTCACTGAGTCTAAAGGTTTTTGTAGGGTCATGCCAAGTGTTTGCAGTAGGGGGCGATGTTGCTGGACGGACGGAGGGACGGACGATATAATCTATTGTAGGCTGGTCCACTTCGTTCCTACCAGTAAAATATAACTCAGAATAAACACCAATCCCTGGAGACAAACGCATAACCAAACTTGGCAAAGCTCTCAAAATAATGATGTAATGAGGATCATTACGAATATTCATTAAACATAGACCGAATAATAACCACGATATACTAAGACCGAGGGAACTCATAAGAAATATCAAGAATAAATGTAACACGCAGGACCACATAAATGTATTGCAAAAAATCTCCTCAGCCACCTTTGTCTCCAACGGTCTGGCACAAACAGATGGCCCCATAAATACTTAGGGGGTTAGAAAGGTTCGCGAGGGTGTCTGGTTTGTTTTTTTCGGTGGTTGTTTGTTTTCCTCTCGCAAGAGACGCGCAGAAAGGAGAGGGTGTTCACGTTTTTGAGTTTAAGCACAAGCGCACATCACGAATGAACAGTTTGGTTCAAGTCGCGCTCAGTCTTGCAACTCGGCTTGCGACGCGGCGTTACGACAGGGCATCGCAAGGGAGCTGGGGCGAGTCATGCCTCGAAGAGAGATGGAACGAGGAGGGGTCGTTCGAGTCGCAGAAATCTGAGTTCAACCTGGGTCGAGGCTGGGTTCAGCCGTGCTCCAGCTGGCGGAGCGTCGTGAGGGAGCAAACACCGATACCGATGGCAGGTGTCGCTTCTCGCAGAACGAAGTGGCGAGGTGTGGTTAAGTGCGAGTGAAGCTGGCAGCTGCACGAACAAAGGAAAGCACGGAGAAGAGAGAGTGTCAAGTGACAACAAGCAATCAACCTGTAGAAAGGGCGGAAATCGCCAAGCGTCGACCAAGCGAGCATCGAAAAGGACGAGCAGCAGCAGATGATCAACAAGAGCCATCGTTCATCGCCAGAGAGCTCCAAGCCGGTGAGCGCGCACAGCCGCGTCGTCCAGAGCCTGAGCCAACACAGCCTGAAGTAAGGGCGAGTGTCCATGTGAAGTTGGCAGCGATCAAGGAGAGAGCGACGACGATATCATCAAGCACCGCCAAAGGCGAGCATCGTGCCGCCTCAACAATCATCCAGCAGTGGAGAAGCCTGGAGCTGCCACCAAGAGAGAGAGAGAGCGCCATCGAATGCGCCGTGTGTTTGATACACACACACCGACCAACACCCAGTGAGAACAGACAAGACGTCCATCAGCGACGACGGAATCATCGCGCACCACGTCGGCGAGCGTCGTGCCAACTCGTCATCCAGCAGCGGAGAGAGAAAGCGCACGAGCAGCACGACTCGGGCGTCACCGAGCGTCGTGCCAACTCATGGAGCTGCGCGCTATCCGACGACGGAATCATCGCGCACCACGACGGCGAGCATCGTGCCAACGCCGTTCAATCGAGCAGTGGAGAGAGAAAGCAAGACGGGCTCGCTGCGGCCACACCCAAGAGAGAAGGAATCTCTGGCCGCTGGTTGTATCTTCCCTCCCCCACCCCACAAGCTCCGACACAGCGCCCTGCCTCTACTTAAAATATTAATTATCAAGGGAACAATACAACGCACACACAACACGAATAAGACTTTCAAAAAGTTATCTTGTGTTTCAAAAAGGGTTGCCATTTCATGGTGGTGCGTTCAATATCAACTGATCGTGCAAAGCAGTTGCTGCCGTCGAGTTACATGAATAAGAAGTGTTTTAGTCATTCATTTTCGTTAATTGCATAATCTTGCTCATGAATCTATTGACGTATGCTTTCGCCTTTGCATATTAGTGTCATGTGTTTGTTTAGAATTAAAATTGCTTAACACCAAGTGTTCGAGTGCTTCTTTCCCAGTCCATGCAAAACTGTCTTATTCATAAGAACTGTAACCTGCGATGAGATATGAATTTGGAGACCTAACATAACATATACACACTAAGATAATCAATACATGTTTAATCAAAGATAATCGTTTTATCCTGATTGATACAACTGTGGATAACGAAGCTAAGCCTAATTATCATAACTGCATACATTAACATAATCGAAAGCATCTGCATAAATTACTACGATTATCTCTGTGATTATCATAATTTATGCATCTAATTAGAAACATTATCATAATTTATGCGATTCGCGCATTTTGCAGAATTTTCTTTAATTTGTATTATTTTTTATCAAAATTTCAAAATCCGGCATATACAACATCCCCCATTTTTTAAGAAAAAAGAGGGTGCTTTGTTCAAGCAACTGAAACAGCCGGACCGAGTTCCTGTGATGGATATTATTTCAGGATTATTGAAAAATAACTGGTAAGCATTTTCATAATTAAAAGCAATCTGCACGTTCTATCCCTGCCAGCCAGC